AAGTGACTATAGATTTTTGTTATTGGCACCAGAACATGGATATGAAGAATTTAAGGGTATGTACTGTGTGAATCATTCTGTCCCCTCTCAATTTATCTCTAGGCATTGTTACTAACTGCAAGACAATATACATAGTGGGATTATTGCTGTCTTGTGTGGTAAATAGGATAGAGGCCTTAATAAAAAGAAAAGGGGGAATTGTGGGTGCATATGCCTGGTCACAAACCGTCTGTGTCACTGACAATGTAAAAGTGTCATCAGCATTCAAGTTAGATTAACACTGTCTAAGTTAATGGCGCACTTGTGCTAGAAGACTAACGGCATCTAGATTAATGACGGCTAAAAGTGAAAGTATTTTTACTCATTAGGGAAGAAACAGATAAGAAAGGAATCTGTAGAATAACAAAGCAGAAATTTATCTACCAGTTGTGCAGGCTTAGTAGCGCTTGTTGAAAGTGCTGAGAGGAATGAGTTTTTGAAATGATCATGCGCCAGAGCAACACATGGATTTGCTGTCACAAGAATATATAAGGACTTGTTTTTCTAATAAAGATCGGAGCTTGACTGTTAACCATATTGGTGTGTGTCTTGTCTCACAGCCTTGTCCTGCAAATAAGGGGGTTCCTGCTACAAATGAGGAGGAGACTCTTCCTGCAGTCTATCTTCCTGGTGATGGTTTTAACAAGGGGGCAGATGACTACAGTTTCTCTGTTCTTTGCAGTGCCTTTATGGGGTCATTCTGCCTGGATGAGAGAGATTATTTAACTGTTTTCTAATAGTTCTTCAAGAGTATTTCTTCAGAGAGGAGAAATGTGATTCTGAAAATATTTGTGTCAGATTCAGAAGAGATTTGAGGTACTGCAATGTTGGCTAGCAACTACATTGACTGAATTATTTATTGCTCCTTAGCACTTCTAGTCTGATGAGGTTATATGGAAGGTGGGTCTGCTGTCGAATTCTTTCATATCCTGCAAAGTGCTCAGCACAGACAGGTTGCGTGTTGCCAGCTCCTGATGAAAGAGCATTAGCTCCTGATGAACAGGCTAAGGCCTAGTTTGGGCCAAACACCGCATTGGCCCAAAATATTCAAAGCTTGTATTTCTTGGAACACCATTCACTGTTAGTCTTTTCTGATAAGTGAAACATCAGATCGTTTCTCAAGCATTTACTTACATGACCAAGGTTCTCTATACCTTTGAGATCTGCAGCTGGGTATCCATCTGTCCGTCCATTCACTCCATTCCCAAACTGTTATCAAATCACATGTTAATTGGTAAGGGAAAGGAAGGGACTGGTGAAAACACTTGATTCTTCCCATTGGTCCTCTTGGATTTTCCACCCCATAAATCACACAATCACAAAATTGTCTAGGTTGAAAAAGACATTGGAGATCATCCAGTCCAACCATCATCCCAACATTAACAGTTCCCAACTACACCATATCCCTCGGGGCTCCAGGGATGGGGACTCCACCACCTCCATGGGCAGCTAATTCCAATGCCTTACAGCCTGTTCCGTAAAGAGATGCTTCCTGACATCTAGTCTAAACCTTCCCTGGTGCAACTTCAGGCCATTCCCTCTTGTCCTATCACTTATTACTTGGTTTAAGATGCTCATCCCCAGCTCTCTGCAACCTCCTTTCTGGTAGCTGTAGAGGGCAATACGGTCTCCCCCCAGCCTCCTCTTCCCCAGACTAAACGACCCCAGTTCCCTCAGCCACTTCCCATCAGACCTGTGCTCCAGACCCTTCACCAACTTCATTGCCCTTCTTTGGACACACTCAAGTAATTCAATGTCCTTTTTGTAGTGAGGGGCCCAAAACTGAACACAGTCATCAAGGTGCGGCCTCACCAGTGCTAACTACAGGGGCAAGATCCCTTTCCTGTCCCTGCTGCCCATGCTATTTCTGATGCAAGCCAGGACGCCATTGGCCTTCTCGGCCACCTGGGTACACTGCTGGCTCATATTCAGCCGGCTGTCAATCAACACCCCCAGGTCCCTCTCTGACTGGCAGCTTTCCAGCCACTCCTCCCCAAGCCTGTAGCACTGCTGGGGGTTGTTGTGGCCCAAGTTCAGCCCCTGGCATTTGGCCTTATTGAAACTCCTACAGTTGGCCTCAGCCCATGGCTCCAGCCTGTCCAGGTCTCTCTGCAGAGCCTCCCTACCCTCGAGCAGATCAACACTCCCGCCCAACTTGGTGTCATCTGCAAAGTGACTGAGGGTGCACTTGATCCCCTCGTCTAGATCATCAATAAAGATGTTAAACAGGAGTGGCCCCAAATACAAGCCCTGGGGGATACCACTTGTGACTGGCCACCAACCAGATTTAACTCCATTCACTGCAACTCTTTGGGCCTGGCCATCCAGCCTGTTTTTTATCCAGCAGTTTGTGCCCATCCAAGCCACGAGCAGCCAGCTTTGCCAGGAAACATAAAGATAAATATAAAGAAATATAAGTTGTAAAACAAACTTGGCTACTAGTGAAAGCAAAGGGAGAAAGTTGATGAAAAACTGCCACACATGTGAGACTCTCAAAAAACAGAAGCAGAGCATTTTTATCTTGGACTAGAAACTAACGGCAGACTTTGATGTATCTTTCCACTTCTGTTGGATGTTGGCTTATGTCAGAGTATTTATTTATCTTCCTTATTTCTCCTTTGCATTTCCACAGTTTTTTATTTTGGAGTTTCTATGATCTAAAGAACTAAAACTATGACAGAGGAACTTGATCAGAATCATTTGCTGTGATTACATGATAACACTTCCACATGTGATTTCTTTTAAAAATTAAAAAATTCTCAAACAGATTAATTCAATTTGATCATTTGATTATCATTCTCAAATATTTTTGGTGAATAATTTTCAGGCAATAGATTGTTTGTGAAGTATTAATCTCATTGTTTTTGCTATTTTTGTTGTGTAATTGCTCATTGAACGTTACCAGTAGTTGCCTGAAAATTTGTTTGTATATCTTGTACCTTGTATCTTCATCCTGAGCTTCTTCTGCAGATAAATGCAGGTCAGAAGTGGTTCTGCTTATCATGCTTAAATGCATGATTAAGAGTTTGTTCATTGCACTGTGATAGCTTCTGATCGGGATTTGATTTCTGTTCTGTGAAGTAAAATAAAATAAGAAAGACAACACATGGGTAGAACATCAAAACTGCTTGCCCTGAAGCTTTAGTAAAGGCAAGTCTTTTTCAATTAGTGCCAAAATGTGGAGCCACAGCTCTAATATAATTGAATAAAAGCAGAGAACCAAAGGCCAACCCCCCCAGGCTCTCCCTATTCTATACATGACCAAGTAAAATAAAAGAAGCAGTAACTGTGTTTCTTACCCTTTTTTTTTTTTTTTTTTTTTTTTTTTTTTTTTCTTGCTAAACTGTATTTCTTAAAAATTAAACAAGATTAAAGCATTTGATTTTATGAGAGAAAAGAGAGAAAATCTGTACATAAGAAAGATCCTGAATTGGAGAGTAGCATGCATGTGAACTGAACTCTGTAAAGCCCAAACATGATGGGCTCTGAAATTCTGTTTCAGCTGAAAGCATCATTCAGATGTAATCTTTGGATTTATGCTTCTAGGTGGTACAGCATCTTCTTTTGAATTTTAGTTTAGATCAGATATATATTTTGCCTAAATTAATATTATAGTATTTTGCTTATCTCTAAAGAATGTTACATGAATAGATGCATTAACAGTAGAAGTTTTTGAATATGAGGATCATGGAAATCATGAAGAGTTTGACAGATAACATGATAAAGCAGTTCTCTTGTGAGGAAATAGAGGACTGCTTTTGCTCTTTATGTTTGTGTAAACATCATACAATGGGATGTGGCTCAACTTGCAAATGTGATCTGTGTTTTGTTATGACTCTGAGTGGCCACATCTCAGTTCTCCTCAGAAGATGACCCCCCTTCCCACAAAGTGCCACTGTTCCCCAGGGGAGCTGGGCCCCTGCCCAGTGAAAGCTGGCTCAAATCCAGAGGGTTTGTTTTTTGGATTTTGGTGTGTTTTGTTTTGGTGGTTTTTTTTTGTTTTTGTTTCTGTTTTTGTTTTTGTTTTTGTGGGGGGTTTTTTTAGAAAACGTAATTAAGTAGCCGTTGGTCCTGGTGCTGAAATAATATTATTTTACTGATTTTGGTAAAACTGTCACATAGTGAAAAGTCACATTTTGCTTGAAGAGCAACACTGTAGCTTTCTCCAGTCACAAAGTGGAAAATGAATTAACAGCAGGACTTGGATAGTTTGCATGAACCTCTGAGAACTGACTCTTGTTTAATTAATATTAATTTACTATTTATAAAGTGATAAGAAGTTTCTTGTGGCTTTTGTGACATCTGTTTTTAATTTGAGAGACATTTTAATCAGTTTGCTGTATGAGAATATTTGTCAACACCAGGTAAATAGGACCTCTAATATGACCTACCCTGCTGAGACTAGTTAACAGGCTAGACTGGGGAATAATATGCACACTCATTTCTCCTCTCTTATCAGAAGAGATCAGTTCCCAAAGTGACATAGATATTGTTGGTGTAGGTGATATCTTTAACCATGACATCACTCTAAACCCCTGGGCAACACTTACACCCTTGGGAGTGTATTGCTGCTAAAGGGAAGCACTTGAGCTGAAAGTCCAAGCCTTTCTTTACATTGAATTTCCTTCTGCTCAAGGGAACTGGCTTGCCATCAGGATCACTGAAGTGCTTTTTTTTTTTTTTTTTTTCCTCCTGTCCTTTTAATTTTAATCCTGTCCCTACCTTTGGAGCATTGGAGGATGAGATAAGCAGAGAAGTCCATCCCTGTAAGAGACCAGAAGCAGAATATGCCTGCATGAAGAGGGCCAGAGCAAGAATCAAACTTCTCCTGGGCAGGCAGGAGTGGGAGAGCTCTTTTGCTGCAGGTTGCTTTCTGGAGTGCTGTCAGTGGGGTTTTATCACTGTAGTGAGTATAATTGGAAAATTGGAAGCAGGCTTCTTTTTTTTTTTTTTGAGTCATCATGCTGCAGCAAATTTTGCGTGATATGTATATTGACCCTGAACTCCTGGCAGAGCTGAATGAAGAGCAAAAGCAGATCTTGTTCTACAAGATGAGAGAAGAGCAGCTGAGGCGCTGGAAGGAGAGGGAAGAAAATACACGAATGGAGAAGACTGTGCTGAGAAAGACAGCAAGGCACAAACAGAGTAAGATTTGTGACCTCCTTTTATACTTAAGAGCTGGGGATGGTAAGTATGCAACTGGTTATGGTGCAGCATACATCTGGAAGAGTTTACAAAGAGGGGTGCCGGCTTGTCCCCATAGGCAAAAAGACTGTCTGGGGCAGCAAGAGCAGTGTTCCTGGTCCTTGTCTCTTAAGGTTGCTTCTTCCTCCAGGGGAATAGTTTAGTCTGGGAGTACGGGGAATTGTTTTGAAGTGCCTTTTTCAGTCATGACTTGCTGCTATTCTCTCAGTGGTAGCAGATGTACCATGACCAAGTTTCCTCTCTACTCCTAAGGCTTTTTTCTTCACCTATCATCCCTACCCCTTCCCCTCAGTCAGGCAAAAGACAGTCTTGCCAGTGCTGTTGAGGTTTCTTGACTTGACATTAAATGTTTCCAAGTGTCTGGAGTGGAAGATAAATTCATGAATTTGAGCTTGTTATGAAGGGCTGTTTGTGAATAAGATGTGATGTCAGAACAGCCATACTATGTGAGACCAACTGTACTAGTAAATGCTCTCCAAAAGATTATGCCTAGAGAATACGATAGTGGTGCGAGCATGTAAAAAACACCCAACAACCAAAACCAAAAAAGAAAAAAAACAGAAAAGTGTTTTCATGCAATATGTAGTTAAACTATGGAACTCTTTCCACAGGCTTTATGGATGCTAAATGTGTGTGTTGACTTAAAAAGCAAATCACATGAATTTAAATTTCATAATAGCTCATTTCCATTTTACTCTCTCAAATTGCCAATTTAAGGTATTGCTTAGGTTTGACTTTCGTCAACTGTTAGAAACTTTCTACTTCCTTCAGAACTGTACTAAAGAACTGATCTTTCTGATTTTTTTTTTTTTTTTTGAGAACTATTGGAATTAGGTTAGCAAGTCAAGTATTTGGTTCCCCTGAAAATATGTTTTGACTTCCATGAACTGATATGGGCCAGAGTTACAAAAGATAACCTGCATCTTTCAGGCATGCTGGTCATTAACTAAAAATACTTGTAACTGATTTCTACTGTACAGTTCCATAATATGATGGTAAATAGTCTCATAGTGGAGATACTTTCTTCTCTAAAACCCAAAAAAGGTGAAAAAAGTCAGCCAAAAATTATGGGTGTAAAATAGGAATTACTGTGCAATATTTTTGCCTATATGACTCAAGGGGTCAGAGTAGATGATTGTAATAATCCTTGCTTAAGATTTTTTTTTTCCCCATCCTAAAAGACATTTGGTATCAACATTTTTTGGACCTTGAAGCTTCTTAATTTTCAGTTTCCATCGATGTCTAAGTGAATTTCTAAACATTCTCCCCCCGCTACATAGCATAGAATATGGAGTATTTTTATTCCTGTTTAAAATGAGTGGTTACCAGGAAATTTAGAGCTACTATATTCTATTCCTCTGAAACTGAGGTATTTGAGCAGTTTAAGCTGCAGGGTTTTGTTTTTGACTGTCTACTGGATGATACAGGTTTATGTGTGTGCTGTTTTGTTGAAACCAAGAGTTACTCTGACTTTATAGAGATCTCTGTAGCCTGACATATAGTAGAAAACAGAGGTAAGACTTCAGTATCTCTAATGTTGTGCCGATATTGTGAAATTTGCTAGGTAACAGAAAAATGTATATGTTTGTGAATGCGTCATAAGTTTCGTATAAAATAATTTTTTACTAATTTAATTGGAATTATCTTTGTAGGACTAGCTTTCAAATCCTTCTGTTTTCCTCATAGTTTGAATAGCTACATAAGAGAACTTTGTCCCACCTCTCTGGAAGTGGATAGGGTGAGATAGAGCAAAAGGAATTAATGACAGTGGGGGCTCGTCTAATTAAAAATACTCCAAAAAGTGCTTGGGGTTGATCTGGAGTCCTATACCTCAATTGGTACAATTCTCCATCAGTTCAAGAGCTTACCTGAAATGGTACATGTGAACCCAGCAGCATAGCAAAAGCAGTGGATTTTTCAAAACAGAGCAGTGATTGTGAATCCAGTTTTGATTTTCTACAGTCACTTGAGGATGAAGGGTTCTTGTGCAAGGTTTAGATGTGTTGTCTTACAGAAACCAGAAGTGGAGAGTTGGGGAGGAAAAAAGTGGCATATGCAGGTCAGATTGGTCTTGTGCTTCAGCTAAAATCAGCAGCAGGGTTAGGGTATACTCATTAATGTGATAATTTTTTAATTGTTGGGAAACTAACTAGCAAAGGCCCAAAATCTACAGTGATTTTTATAAAAATGTCACTGAACACAGATTGTCTATAAATGTCCTATTCAGTAATATGTAATTTGCTTCTCAGAAACCCAAGTCCAAACCATGAAGTAAGATGTATGTTGTTAAGAGTGTTTAGCAAGCCAAATAGTGTAACAGTCTATGTGTAATTAGTCTTATTCTTAATTTTAAAAGAAAATAATAGTCACCTTCAGTAAATACTAAATTGTGCCTGCTTTACCATTTGGGTCACTTTGTTTCATGTGACTTGAGGAAAGGTTTAAAATTAAAATTTGTATCAGGATGAGTTGATGTTAAGGAATTGTTTCACTTTGGGGGTGAATGAAATTTTTAAAGATTATTCAACAGTTTTAGTTTCCTTCCCTTTTTAGAAACGCAGATCGATGTCTAAAAGGGAGAAATATGTAAACAGCATTTCAGAATGAAATATTTCCTTTAGAAGATACTGAATGAACTCTTCCATGTTTTTGCTGTTTGTACCTAGTTTACATCTGTACTTTGCCTAAAAGTATTAGTAGAATTTGAGCATCATTTGGGTCCTCCAAAACTGCAGCATTTTATGAACTTATTCAAGGTAAAAAAGGTATTTTGTAGCTTTAATTAAATAATGACTGCTGGCTTGTACTGAAATAGCTTTACAGGTGAGTTGAATTCTTGGAGGTCTGTCTCCAGTTCATTTACAAATTACTCCTGGGCAGATTTTTCAGGAATTTATTTTCATTGTAATAAAACAGGTTGCCTTTTCTTATTGTGCTAAAATCACTAAGGGAAGTCTTCCCAAAATTTCAAGATCCCTTTGGGATTTACTGAGACTTGACTGATGGGCAGCTTTACAATTTGCAAAGAAACATATTTATTTGATTAGGCAGGAGCCCTTTAACCAGTATAGCTGAGTTGGGAGTAAGTGAAGGACCCTGCCAATTTGGATTTTGACTCTGATGCAGTATCCAGAGCTGTCAGCATATCTAAAATGAGATCTCAAAAACTGTTGAGCATTAGGTTGCTAAAGCACAGCCATGTGGGAGAGAGGACAGTGCTGGTCTGCTGCTGCTTATTCTGACATTTATTTGTTGTGAACTGCAGCTCATGATGTTCAGGCGGGAGCTATTCATAAACACTCTTATTTACCTGTCCTTAACAAGAGTAACTGGGAGAAAATTAGGAAGGCTTATCACACCATGGCTAGAAAAAAAATTTTCTATCTAAATGACATTTGCATTATAAAATGATTAGAGAACAGATATTTGGAAGCAAGTATTTCAAATATCGCAAGTAGATGGTGAGGATACATCAGTGTCACATGTGAAGGCCAGTGAGTGGCCATGTGTTTCCGTGTGTGCATGAAGGGTGAGTGGGTATACATGCAGCGACTTTGTTCTATGTTTTTGAACTCAGAAATGCATTCCACATTTATACTAAGGCCTCTACACACCCTGGTAATGCTTACCTATAATTTTATCTCCTACAGAGACATGCTCCTGGCAGTGTTTGTTGCCGCCTTCTCTGTATCATTGGATATGGGTCAAAACAGACGAGTATTTCTGAAATTTCTAACTGTATGTGGTCTTCAATTCTGTAGAACCCTGTCTTTTTTTTTTTTTTTTTTTTCCGATTCAGATACAACTGAAAAAGTAACAGAAATTGGTGAGAACATTAGAATATTTTTTATTAGGGGACTGAGCCAACTAATTTGAAGTAAATGGAAAAATTTTAATTATCATTCACAACATGTATAGCAGCTTGTGATATGACACAGCTTTTTTTGTACTGTATACCTTGGTGTCAGAACTCTGCTGCTCAGAGCTCATGCTTGGTGTGGCTGTGTATTGAGGTACAATTAAACAGCATCTTCTGTTTACTTCTCCGAACCTGGGGCTAGACAGAGACCTCCAACTTCCATATGACCTAAATATGTACCAGATTGAACAAATCCAGAGGGGCTTCTCTGCCTTCCTAGGATTAGCTGTAAGTCTGTGCTTTTTATTCTTGTACCCTGTCCTGCAGTTGACTTCCCTGTTTTGCAGAAAAGTGACATCAGAATACTGCTGGCTACCTGGGCCTTATTGCACTGGAGGTTTCCCTTGCATGCGTGTGGTCCTCAGTGCTCCTGTTGTCTGAAGCATCTGGCATCAGACTGCTTTCTGAGAGAGGCTACTGGGTTAATTGAGCCACTGGCATGGAGAGTGTTCCTGTGTTTCTCTGTGGTATTGTGTTCCTCGGCCTGTCTGGACACAGTGGTGTTAGATGGTCTTTCTTGTACATACTGGTGCTCTGGTAATCATACGAGGTTGTGACTGTTTGCAAGCTCATGAATACTTGATATGGAAAGAGGACAGTACTGCAGCCAAGGGGAGAATGGGATTCACCCAAGCTAATTCAATGTTTCCTTTCTGATTTTGCCAGTTTTTAGCATAAATGACTGAAACACTCAAAGACAGAGGTTTTGATAGCAGGATTTGGAAGACATGGGAAAACTCAATGTATTCAAGTCAGCAGTGGATTTAGCCAGGTACTGATGGTGGTTCATTAATCTTCCAAGTCCACTCCTGTGCTGTGGTGCTAGAAAATCTCACTGTAGTGATGTGGTTGTCCATGCTTTTGTAGTCCTGTGTGCCTGATAAAAGGAGTCGGTGCAAATCTGCCACACTGCATTAAGTAGGGGATCTGGTGCAGAAACTGATCCCTAGTTCTCTGTTCATTCCATGACAGAGAACAGAGAACCCTTATTCCTCTGCTTTTCCAGCAGACCCTGAAGTAG